GCCCCTCGAAGCGGTGGGGGGCCGCGGCGCTGCCCTGCCCGGCGGGGCGGCGGGGCTGGGCAGTGTCCCCGGCTCCCCCACCCTTTGTGGGGGAAGGGCCGCGCAGGCTGCTCGGGGCCGTGTCGTCCTGGGGTTTCTCCTGAAATCCCGGCAGGAGCCAGCTCCGGGGTCCCCATCCTCCGGGGTCTTCGGGCTGGGGCCCCACCTTAATGGAGGAGCTGGAAGAAATAGGTGGGCGGGCCTTGAAAAAGCAAAAATATACCTTTGTGTATGTTTCTTTCCACGGATGTTGGAGCCCTTTTTGCAGCGGACAACTTCGTTAAGCACGGGAGGTTCATTCTAGCTTGGGCTGTGGTTTGCACTCGTGCCTCGGAATAATTTAGATCTGTTACGTTATTTCATAATACGGTGAAATTTATTGGGAGCAGATTGTGTGGTTTAATTGGTCTTTTTTTTTTTTTCCCAAGAAAAACTGCTCAGGGATTATTGGGCCTTTAGAAAGGTATCCTGCTGGCTCAAGTGACAAAAGACTAAGTTTATGTTCCTTTCTCTTATAAAGGTTACTTCAGTTTTTTTGTTATCTACACAAAGCTTGCGTTTAGGTATCATATTTACAAAAGCATTTCCTGCTGACAGCATCTTCAGACTTTAATGTGTATGTCATACAGCCTGGTCCGTTTCCTCTCTTGCTCTCATAAACTTGTTGTACATGTGAGGGGGAAATAGAAGAAATGGCTTTTGTGATGTAGAGTATCTGAAATACCATGATGTAACAAATGTGGGTTTTTTTTGTTTTCTGTGTAATTTTGTGCCATCTATTTTGCTAGGTCAGCAAGCAATTTGATGATTGTGGATTAACTTCCCCCCTCCTTGAAACTTGTCTTTCTACACTCTCATACTTGGTTACCCCAAATCCACAGTGCTTTAGATTAACCATTTCTGTATGTCTGTTCTAATCTGAATTTCAGGAATAATTTCCTTTTGGGACAGTAGCCCTTGTGTGATTTAGATATCCAGAAGAATGATGTTCATAATGGCAAAGAGGTGTGCAAGTTTTTATTTGTAACTTTGCAAGTCATCACTAAACTCTGTTCCAGTTAAACCTCTAGCAGAAAGATGCATCTTGTTTTGTTTTACATCTCTAAATTGCAAGCTCTTGCAGGCACAGGTTCCTAGCTATTGTTGGAATAAATGTGATAATGATAAGGGAAATAAGAAAAAGTAGTGGAGTGGGAATGTCCCAGCAGAATGGAACATTGATGTGATTCAAATAGTGAAGGCTCTGCTATCGCTGATACTTTGATCTGTTTGTATCTTGTGGTTATGTCTAGTCTAGGACTTTGGTTCTAACCTAATCACTCTGTATCTGGTCTTTTTCTGAAATTCATCTTAAAAGGGCAACATCACTGCTAGTCTTCCTACTTCATGTTTCTTCTTTCTTTCAGACCAGGTAGTTGCTAATAAAATTTCTCAGTCTTCAGGAGTCTTCACTTGGACAGTATAAGTAGTATTGTCAAAATTAAATACAGTATTTCAGCACTAAATTTCTGGGAAGATACTTCTGTATATTACATGTACTGGTGTATTATTCATACTCTTATAAGTATGCACAACATGTTATTTTGAATGCATTTGTAACTTTGTCTTAATTGATCTTTTTTGCCTGTACTCTTAGATGTGTATGCAATTTGTCGAATGTTTCCATTTCACTTAACAGTGTGGTACAAGTGGTTCTGAAGACTGACGGACAAATGGGGAATTAAGAAGTTGGTTAAATAGATCAGTTAGTTAAGCTAGAATAAACCGGCAACACAGACCTTAGTTAATCAAACAGTAAGCATATTAGAACTAGATTTTGAGGATAGATAAACCCCTGTGCTCAGTTTCTGAAAGGTAAATGCTTATACTCTATAATACTCCTTTAAAGTTGGTGTTACTTCTTCCATGCTGGTTTCAGTGACCTTTTTCTTGATGTTTTCGATACCTTTCCAACGGTGGTGACATCTGAAAGTTGCCACTACTTAAAAGTTAACTGATAATCTTGTTTCAAAGATGAAATCTTAAAGCATCATTACATGACTATTACTTGCATGAAAATGCATTTTCCTTAATGGTTAATAATGTGCTAGTTAAGGGTACATGGTCAAAACAAGACTTCGTTCTTTGAGTGAAAGACTAGCATATGTTGTTTCTGGATGAAGTTGAGAAAGAAAACTGTGTATTTTACATGACTGATCACTTCTAAATTAGGTGCAATATTTATTTTGGCTGGATGGAGAGTAAGCAACAACTAATAGCTGTAAAGTAGTAAACTGAGTTGCTTTACTTTCATCTTACACAGAATATTGTGAAGTTCCCATTAGTGGGTAAGAGAAATCATCAGCCAGGTCTCTGCTGGGCAAACTTGAATGTTTAATCTCTGTAAGTATATAAAATATAAAAACCCCCAGAATTTCATATTTGCTGCACAGCATAATGTTTTCTATTTCTTAACGTGCTTTCTGTTTCCGTCTTTGCTCGCTCCCCTGGTTTTAGGGTATCCATTCTGGATGTGGTGGGCACATCCTTCTACTAATGTTCTATTAGATGCTTCTTGCAAAATTTCTCTAAAATATAGAGTGAAACAAGATGTTTAAGGAATGATCCCGTGTGTGCTCCGTCTTCTTGTGTGTCAATAGTTGTTCAGAATGAGGCATACTTTCAACATGCTTTATAAAACAGGTTGAACAGAGTTTTAAATTGGATATATTTATGCTTGAAACTAAAAGCACATGTGCCAGTATTGAAATTCTAGCTAAGCCTGTTAGAGCTAACAAATACATTTTAATTGAGGTTTTTGTGCATCTTATCTGGAGGTTTTTTTAAGACTGTAGGCTAAATTCTGCATTAGAGTACATGCTAAGTCTTGTTCTGGGATGCAAGTGGGCAACTCCTAATGGAATCTTCCTGGAAGCTATGTTGCCCCATGTACGTGCTTTGTAGTATCCAAATTCATCCTCTCTAGCACTGTCAGATGTTTTAGAACCCTAGTGAAATTAAGGATGCTTTGGCAGTGTTTCAGTATCTCAGTTTTAGAAACCTGTAACTGTGTCAACTTTAACTGGAATTGGAAACAAAGTCATTTAGTTGTGTGGTGCTGTTGGAGGACTTCCTTAGGAGTTGTATTTTTTTCCTTACAGAACTATTTACAGCAATGTTGTGGAGTGAAGAGTCAAGTATCCTATAAATAACAGTAATTTGTAACCAGCAAATAAAATAAATGTTTTGAAGTTTAATGTATATATTTAAAGAAATAGATCTTGCTTTCTGTTGTTGTTTTTTTTGTTTGGTTTTTTTTTTTTAAATTCAGTAATACATTGCATCAGGCCTTCATAATTTGATCCTATAAATTTTTCAGACAGCTGGATTATTGATGCTGTGAGATGCATTGATTATCTTTATCAACCACTGCATAACTCATAGATATACTGTAGTAAAATTGGCTGTTCCTCAATATGTTCAGGTACTTCAGGGTGAAGAGTTGTATGTCAGTGGCTGATCAGCCACAGTAGTAGTTTTTGTTATAGACCTGACTGATCTTGTGTTATTAAGGGGAATAATTTAGTAGCCATTTTACAATTCTCTTGCATTTTTCAAAGTATTGTTTGTCTGTCAAGGGTAGTAAAGTATTAAATCTTTTTACATTTGAGAGCTGTCTGTTTTAGAGTTTTCATAAAATATTTCACTGGACTGTTCCTTTATTATGAGATACTGCTTTTAAAACAGAGATTCTATACATAGCAGACCATACATTGCCATCTTCTAGACCCATTTTTTTCCGCAGCTTTGTAGCTCATTGCATTTTACTGATATCTGTGCTTGATTTGTTGTTTGAGATTTTCCCTTTTCTCCCCCCCCCAACCCCCATGATTCAAACATTCAAAAGAAATAGTATACAAAAGAGGAGCTTTGTCAGGAACTCAGAAGTTCAGCAAATAGCTAGCTTTTGTACTTTTATGTAGGGCCTCCTCCTCTCCAAAAGCAAACTTATTCTGGCCAATTTTTGTCAAGGCTCAGGTAAACTAGATAAATTTCAATAAATAAAATAGTATTGTAACCTCTGCTGTTCAGGCTGAGGAAGCAGGTAGTTCTCTAAATGCTCATAACGCTTACTCGATGAAAAACAAGTCTTTTTGACAGTCTGGTAGCACATTTGTTCCTCTGACAAAATGCAGTTCTCTCTCTCTCTCTCTTTTTTAAAATAGACATGCAATCCCTGCCCTGAAAAGCTTATGCTCTGCTTTTTTTTTTTTTTTTTTTTTTTTAATAGAAGGAGTTGTAAAAGAATGGGAGGAAAATACCAGGATTCAGTTTAGGTGGTATGGTTGAGTTAACTTGCTAATTTAGAAAGAGAATCTATTATGACTTAAATGAATCTAACTAGAACATTTCAAACTTTAAAACAAGCTTAATGGTTGCATAACATTCACATTAGTAGCTCTTTCTTAGCTTCTTCCCATGATCAGTTAAGGCATTTTTCAGCTAATAGATCTGAGACCACAGGCGCACATATTAGTGGTTTGTTCAGATCTTGTAATACTGCTCCTGGGAAGTGTGTGCCTGTGTGTACTCATGACCTTGACGTAGATTGAATCTCCGAGCGCTCTGTTTCTCCCCCACCTCCTGCACCTGCTATATCATGGTCAATTGATAACAAGAATAATCGGTTGTGAATTGTTAAATGAAACATGTGGGAAGTGTGGCCAAAAAAATGGCATCTGGTTCAGCAGTGTCTGATCTGTACTAGCTAAGTATCCTCTTATGGCTTTGTTATGAGGCATTTAATTCTGGGGGTGAAGGTGAAGTTTGGTTTTTTGCGTGTGGTCCACCCCCCCCCCCCCCCCCCCCCGGCGCGT